ATAGATAGAGATAGATAGATAGATAGATAGATAGATAGATAGATAGATAGATAGATAGATAGATAGATAGAACGGCTACTACTTACGAGCGCATACGTCTGACAGGGCGGTTAGCTAATTCCCTATGTTGGACGTCTGCTCATCCTACAAAGTTCACCTGTGATTAATCTGTAAGTCTGCATAATCCATAGTTTTAAAACTTTCGAATAAAGTCAGTACGCTAAAAACACATGATCACAATTACTTCATTTATTTCCTGCTATCTTCGACGACTTCTGTCTACCCAATTCAAACCCACGAAGTTTGGGTTATTTCGTGGTTGGTTGGTTTCATGATTTTATTTAGTGGCATATCAACTTCTATGGGTTACTGAATGTTGAAATCTAAACATTTTGACTACAATTTTATGGCTTTTAAAATTTATCATTGGCCATTTTGCTATCAAATGTATTGTTGGTTATTTTGCTTTAAAAATATCTCGTTGGTAATTTTTTTATATAAAAATATGTTGCTGGTATTTTTTGTTTTTACTATAAAAACGTATTTTTAAATACTTTTTTTAAGTGTTGAATAGATTGTCATTTTTGCAATAAAAATGTAGTATTGGTAATTTTACTATAAAAACGTATTTTTAAATACATTTTTAAGTGTTGAATAGATTGTCATTTTGCAATAAAAATGTAGTATTGGTAATTTTACTATAAAAACGTATTTTTAAATACTTTTTTTAAGTGTTGAATAGATTGTCATTTTGAAATAAAAATGTAGTATTGGTAATTTTACTATACAAACATATTTTTAAATACTTTTTTTTAGTGTTGAATAGATTGTCATTTTGCAATAAAAATGTAGTATTGGTAATTTTACTATAAAAACGTATTTTTAAATACTTTTTTAGTGTTGAATAGATTGTCATTTTGCAATAAAAATGTAGTATTGGTAATTTACTATAAAAACGTATTTTTTTTTAAAACTTTTTTTAAGTGTTGAATAGATTGTCATTTTTGCAATAAAAATGTAGTATTTGTAATTTTACTATAAAACGTATTTTTAAATACTTTTTTTAACTGTTGAATAGATTGTCATTTTGCAATAAAAATGTAGTATTGGTAATTTTACTATAAAACGTATTTTTTAAATACATTTTTAGTGTTGAATAGATTGTCATTTTGCAATAAAAAATGTAGTATTGGTAATTTTTACTATAAAAAAGGTAATTTTAAATACTTTTTTTTAGTGTTGAATAGATTGTCATTTTGCAATAAAAATGTAGTATTGGTAATTTTACTATAAAAAACGTATTTTTTAAATACTTTTTTAGTGTTGAATAGATTGTCATTTTGCAATAAAAATGTAGTATTGTAATTTTACTATAAAAACGTATTTTTTAAATACTTTTTTTAAGTGTTGAATAGATTGTCATTTTGCAATAAAAATGTAGTTTAGTAATTTTACTATAAAAAACGTATTTTAAATACTTTTTTAAGTGTTGAATAGATTGTCATTTTAAAAAAAAAATGTAGTATTGGTAATTTTACTATAAAACGTATTTTTAAATACTTTTTAAGTGTTGAATAGATTGTCATTTTGCAATAAAAATGTAGTATTGGTAATTTTACTATAAAAACGTATTTTAAATACTTTTTTTAAGTGTTGAATAGATTGTCATTTGCAATAAAAATGTAGTATTGGTAATTTTACTATAAAAACGTATTTTTTAAATACTTTTTTTAGTGTTGAATAGATTGTCATTTTGCAATAAAAATGTAGTATTGGTAATTTTACTATAAAACGTATTTTTAAATACTTTTTTAGTGTTGAATAGATTGTCATTTTGCAATAAAAATGTAGTATTGGTAATTTTACTATAAAAACGTATTTTAAATACTTTTTTTAAATGAATAGATTTTTTAGTGTTGAATAGATTGTCATTTTGCAAAAATAAAAATGTAGTATTGGTAATTTTACTATAAAAACGTATTTTTAAATACTTTTTTAGTGTTGAATAGATTGTCATTTTGCAATAAAAAATGTAGTATTGGTAATTTTACTATAAAAACGTATTTTAAATACTTTTTTTAGTGATGAATAGATTGTCATTTTGAAATAAAATGTAGTATTGGTAATTTTACTATAAAACGTATTTTAAATACTTTTTTTAGAGTTGAATAGATTGTCATTTTGCAATAAAAATGTAGTAGTGGTAATTTTACTATAAAAACGTATTTTTAAATACTTTTTTAGTGTTGAATAGATTGTCATTTTGAAATAAAATGTAGTATTGGTAATTTTACTATAAAAACGTATTTTAAATACTTTTTTAGTGTTGAATAGATTGTCATTTTGCAACAAAAATGTAGTATTGGTAATTTTACTATAAAACGTATTTTTAAATACTTTTTTAGTGTTGAATAGATTGCCATTTTGAAATAAAAATGTAGTATTGGTAATTTTACTATAAAAACGTATTTTTAAATACTTTTTTAGTGTTGAATAGATTGTCATTTTGAAATAAAAATGTAGTATTGGTAATTTTACTATAAAAGCGTATTTTTAAATACTTTTTTAAGTGTTGAATAGATTGTCATTTTGCAATAAAAATGTAGTATTGGTAATTTTACTATAAAAACGTATTTTTAAATACTTTTTTAGTGTTGAATAGATTGTCATTTTGCAATAAAAATGTAGTATTGGTAATTTTACTATAAAAACGTATTTTTAAATACTTTTTTTTAGTGTTGAATAGATTGTCATTTTGCAATAAAAATGTAGTATTGGTAATTTTACTATAAAAACGTATTTTTAAATACTTTTCTAGTGTTGAATAGATTGTCATTTTGCAAATATAAATGTAGTATTGGTAATTTTACTATAAAAACGTATTTTTTAAATACTTTTTTAAGTGTTGAATAGATTGTCATTTTGCAATAAAAAAATGTAGTATTGGTAATTTTACTATAAAACGTATTTTAAAATACTTTTTTAAGTGTTGAATAGATTGTCATTTTGCAATAAAAATGTAGTATTGATAATTATACTATAAAAACGTATTTTTAAATACTTTTTTAAGTGTTGAATAGATTGTCATTTTGCAATAAAAATGTAGTATTGGTAATTTTACTATAAAAACGTATTTTTAAATACTTTTTTTTAGAGTTGAATAGATTGTCATTTTGCAATAAAAATGTAGTATTGGTAATTTTACTATAAAAACGTATTTTTAAATACTTTTTTTAAGTGTTGAATAGATTGTCATTTTGCAATAAAAATGTAGTATTGGTAATTTTACTATAAAAACGTATTTTTAAATACTTTTTTTAGTGTTGAATAGATTGTCATTTTGCAATAAAAATGTAGTATTGGTAATTTTACTATAAAAACGTATTTTTAAATACTTTTTTAGTGTTGAATAGATTGCCATTTTGAAATAAAAATGTAGTATTGGGTAATTTTACTATAAAAAAATGTATTTTTAAATACTTTTTTTAGTGTTGAATAGATTGTCATTTTGCAATAAAATGTAGTATTGGTAATTTTACTATAAAACGTATTTTTTAAATACTTTTTTAGTGTTGAATAGATTGTCATTTTTCAATAAAATGTAGTATTGGTAATTTTACTATAAAAACGTATTTTTAAATACTTTTTTAGTGTTGAATAGATTGTCATTTTCAAATAAAAATGTAGTATTGGTAATTTTTACTATAAAACGTAAAATACTTTTTTGTCATTTTTAACAAAAATGTTTTGGTAATTTTACTATAAAACGTTTTTTTAAGTGTTGAACAGATTGTCATTTTGCAATAAAATGTAGTATTGGTAATTTTACTATAAAAACTTATTTTTAAATACTTTTTTTAAGTGATGAATAGATTGTCATTTTGCAATAAAAATGTAGTATTGGTAATTTTACTATAAAACGTATTTTTAAATACATTTTAAGTGTTGAATAGATTGTCATTTTGCAATAAAAATGTAGTATTGGTAATTTTACTATAAAACGTATTTTTAAATACTTTTTTAAGTGTTGAATAGATTGTCATTTTGCAATAAAAATGTAGTATTGGTAATTTTACTATAAAAAACGTATTTTTAAATACTTTTTTAAATGTTGAATAGATTGTCATTTTGCAATAAAAATGTAGTATTGGTAATTTTACTATAAAAAATGTAGTATTTTTTAAATACTTTTTTAAGTGTTGAATAGATTGTCATTTTGCAATAAAATGTAGTATTGGTAATTTTACTATAAAAAACGTATTTTTAAATACTTCTTTTAAGTGTTGAATAGATTTTCATTTTGCAATAAAAATGTAGTATTGGTAATTTTACTATAAAAATGTACTATTGATTTTTGTGTGGAAGTTCACTATTTGCCCATAGGTGGAACCCCAACAGGTGCTACCACCCCATGTCATGGTTGACCTGGGAACAACAACAGTTAAGAGGTGGTTCCACGATCCTCAAGACCTTCAATCTCCCGATCAGAGGTCTCGCTGCAAGATGTAGTTTATCCTCATACCCAGGACATTAACTCGTCGTGGCTTTCTTGACACTTTCCGAAAGAACCGTCCCAAGCCAATGTTATGAAGAATTCACCTTCCTGGTGGTGACATTAGAATCCGGGTCTCATGGCTAGGGACGGGACATTTTTAGCCATTCGACCTCCCTCTCTTTCTTTTCTACATGGTTTGATCGTGTGACAATTGCATCGTAAGAAAGTAAGAAACTCGGTTGATTGATCTGTGTTTTACGGATTATCAACCTCTTGCAGGTTAATTAAAAGGAAAAAATATTTTTTAGATTTTAATATTTTTTGGAGATAATAATGATTTACTGATACGTGCTACTAATTAACCCATAGATAGGGGAGAAGATATAGATTCATACCATTCTCAAGGTTATTTGCACGTAATTGATTATAAAGAACGTGATTCGAATAGGAATTCGGCTCTCTGATTTCCAAAGCCGTTATTCATTACACCTAACGCACATTTAAGCTTGCCGCACCTGGTATTCCCAAGTGGTCACTCGTGTAGTTGCTGACCAGGCTTAACGTTGCTTAACTTCGGGGTTCTTGCGAGAACCAGTGTTTCAACGTGATATGGCCCTATGCCAAAATGTTTATACTCGAGAGAGAAATGGAAAACAAGTGCTGTGTCTCTATATGCTCTAAATGCCAAATTTGCTGTTTCGCCTTTATATATATATATATATATATATATATATATATATATATATATATATATTTTTTTTTTTTTTAAAAAAAAAATCAGTGAACTGAGAATAAAATTTCTCGTCTGTACCATTGCTACATCTTTCTCGTTGCTGACGATCGGAAAAGCATAAATCTAATCTTAGCTGCCAAACTGCTGGAGAATTTTATAGTTAATAATATAAAATGTAATTATAGTTTTAAAACCGGATATATGATAAAATATATATGAATAAATAATGTAAACAAATATATTCAAACAAGAAGAGCAAGGAAACCATGTTTACAGAAAAATAGTGAATCTAAATATTATAATGAAATGATGTTAACCTCTAGGAGCAGGGCCGGCGCGTACTACTACAGATCCCTCCGCCTGGATCGGTGGATGCTTTGACTGGGGCCCCCGAGCAGTGTTTCGTAACTCTCACTATCTTAGTAACATTTCTAACTACATTTATATATGTTACAAATGAAACTAAGCTCAACTAATTATAAAACGATGACAAATTTTCACGGATTTTTACGTCATTCTGGGGCCTTTTTTATCGTCCAAATCCGTGAATTTTTTTTGTCTCATGCTAAAAAAAAAAAAACACTGTAAAGTGTTTTTTTTTTTTTTAGACTTAGCACTATTTTTTTTTTAGACTTAGCACTATTTTTTTTTTAGACTTAGCACTATTTTTTTTTAGACTTTCACTATTTTTAATCCACAATGTTGAATGTGTTAAGATTGTTCAACTATTTAACAAGAAGAAATTGAAACTGCCGCAAAACATTGTTAAGAAAATTAATGGAAAAATAATCTTCCTTTCTCAGATGTTCTCGTCGATTTTTAGTAATAATCCTTTTAAAACTTCTGCTTATAAAAAAAACAACGAGTAAAGACTCTTGCCATCTTCATTTCTCTAGTGAATGCTCTCTTAAATATAAAATAGGTGTTATTAAAAATTTCCTCAAGAGAGCACACGAGAATTCATCCACTCGCACGCTTTTCTTTAAAGAATTAAGCAACCTAAGCAAACGCTTTTTAATAACGGATTTCCTAATCAATTGTTGGATTTCCATATTAAGCGTTTTCTGTCTAAAGTAGCTAATAGCAACGATGAGAACAGAAACATAAAGAATAACATTAATATTTTTATAAAAATCAAATGAACAAAAATTATAAACAAGACGAAACTAGAATTAAGATCATTATAAAAAAATGCACAACACCAGTTGACAATCGCAAAAAAAAATCCAAGATTAATTATTTATTACAAAAAATTTAAAATTTATAGTTAAAAATAATAATTCATCTTTTAGAAAAAAATTAAATAGGACAAATATTATTTACGAATTCAAATGTCCATAAGGAATTGTGCTTCCTGATCAATCAAAATTCGTAAATAATTATATAGCGCACACTACAACATGTTTGACACGAAGACTCACACTACACCTTTCTGACCATAGCCCAATTAGATCTCATTTAAATATTCATGGAAACCTACCGGACCCTCTTCGTAAAATGCTTGTCGACAACACAAATATAATAGCATCATCTACATGCAAAAAATGGCTACAAATAATGGAAGCCTTATTAATAAAAACTGTAACCTAACACTGAATAATATCAACCATGAACATGGACACAATATCTTGACCGTGTTTTGAAAAATGAAAACATTTTATAAAACAGATATGCAACAAAGTATTTCTTATTCAACAGTTAAAATATTTAATCCTTGAAAATGGCTAACTGTATAGCCGAAAGCGCTCGGAAAAAAACATTTGGAGAGTTTTTATATAATTTATCAACCGAAAAGAAAAGAAAAAGTATTATTAGATCACATGAGAGATTGTAGAAATAACTAAATCAAAGCACCTTGTCTGTCGTATTCAATGAAATGTGCATGAAAGAATGATTGCGGCCGAAATACACACACACATATATATATATATAATTTTAAGACATTTTTATGTTTATACATTCTTTTTTTATAGATGCAAATATTTAAGTAAATGCTCTCTTTATAATAAACTGTATTAATAACATTCACTGGCCTGAATGTCCGAGAAATTTTCATAGAAAATATGCGTCCTCCGACAGGAATCGAAACTATCCTATACGGAACCGTCATATGTGTCTGACGTGCCTTAACCGATTGAGCCAAGATCGATTGGGAGGTCGACCCTAGCGTGCAGCACCTTTGCAAAGTATCTTAAGACCATACGACAGGTTGACCCAAGTTAATGAAATTGGGTAGACGGGTACATTTGATAGCATGGCTAGCACGAAGTCATGGCCGAGCGTGTTGGCCTTGTTCAAAATGTTGATCACGCTAGATAACACGCTCTTTCCTAGAAACTCTAACTAAGGTCTGCTCAACATAGTTTCAGTATAAACCACGGCTATGTGGGTGTTGAATAAATATAAATGCGCCTGAGGATCGTCTGCAACAGGGATTGTCTAGCCGTCCTAGTAAAGGGATATCCTCGAATATGAGTGGCCAACTATATACATATAGAATACCATGATTTAAATTTTTAATTATCGAATGATCTTTTCTCCAAAGGACAGAAAAACTCAACTTTTCCCCATTTCTGAAGCGGATGCTTACACGTATGGTCTTCTGTAGTAAAAAAAAAAACAAACTTCGAACGAAAAATTGTGGAATACTTTCAGTAATTCGGGCACACCTTATAGTGTTTCCGGCTCGAAAGTCGTTGCCCCTGTGTGGTTTAGAATGCCAGCCCTTATTAAAAAAATATATGACTGATTATTTTTTTTTGTGGGAGGGGGCAGATTTCACTGTACATATAAATGCAACATGATGATTATTTATAAAATAAAGCATAAGAGGAGAACTTATGTCTAATTAACGCAATATCTAAATAGAACTGAACAAATTATTATTTTAATATTTCACAAGTTAATAGGGACTGTTAGAATCAATAATTTTAAAAATAAATATTTATATAATAAAATATTTATATAATATTTATTATGATATCATAATATTTAATAATTGATTAATAATAATTTTATTAATAATATCTTAATAATTAATATATCTTTACTTATATTAATAATATCTTAATAATTGATAATATTTTATGATAAACATTATAATAGTTATATAATATAAAAATAAAATATTTATATAATATTATATAAAATTATATAAGATGGGAACTTGTATTTGATTAACGCAATATCCCATAGATCTGAACGAACTATTATTTTCCTATTAAACTTGTAAACAAGTTAATAGGGTCTATTTGACAGTCTAGAGTCTTCATTATTGTTTGAATCACTGATTTAAAAAATTATTTTTTATGTATCAATTACTTTTAGGACGCAGATAATGATGCCTCTACACAACTTCCTGTTTTTTTTTGTAGCTGAAGAAATCTTTGATCCCTTAATCTCCCTTTTCTTTGCTCTGTCGTCAAGTCTCTCTCTCTCTCTCTCTCTCTCTCTCACACACACACAAATATGTATGTTACATGAAACGTTATTTTAGTAGATACCCGTATTTGAAATAAACGCCCATAAATAAATAAAAATGTAAGCAGCATTTATTATATATACTGCGCACTCGATAAATCTTAATAAAGAAAAATGTGCTCTCTAAAATTTCTCGAGTGATCTGTCGATCGATATAAAATCAGACTGTTTCAAATAAAATAGTGGTGTCTATTTCAAATACGGCTAACAACTAAAACTTAATTAATTTCTCTCTCTGTTTCTGTCAGGGTCCTTACATATAAGTACAGAATGAACTCTTCCTAACACTATGTATACTACGCCTCTCAAGAAAGTGGGACGAATCAAGCCGATCTTTTCGACTTGACGGTCGAACTCTCTGCTTTTGAGCAGAAAGGAACCTGGACGAGGTTCCGCCGAAGGGCAGAATCTCGTTCCGGGTGAATGACCTACCCTGATCTCGTTTTTACGAGTTATACGGGCATATTTTTGGCTGAGCCTACGGGCTCAGGAAACCCACGATAAAAATGACCTTGTGTCGCATGCAACCCTCGTGGGGGGGTGGCTAGATACTGAATCAAGCCGATCTTTTCGACTTGATGGTCGAACTCTCTGCTTTTGAGCAGAAAGGAACCCGGACGAGGTTCCGCCGAAGGGCAGAATCTCGTTCGGGGTGAATGACCTACCCTGATCTCGTTTTTACGAGTCATACGGGCATATTTTTGGCTGAGCCTACGGGCTCAGGAATCCCACGATAAAAATGACCTTGTGCCGCATGCAACCCTAGTGGGGGGGTGGCTAGATACTGAATCAAGCCGAGAAGCTCAGCTTGACGGTCGAACTCTCTGCTTTTGAGCAGAAAGGAACCCGGACGAGGCTCCGCCGAAGGGCAGAGTCTCGTTCGGGGAGAATGACCAACCCGATCTCGTTTATACGGGTTATACGGGCATTTTTTGGCTGAGCCTACGGGCTCGGAAAACCCACGGTGAACTCGGCCTTGTGCCACATGCAACCCTCGTGGTGGGGGGCTAGATACCGAATCGTGTCGAGCCGATAGTAGTTCACTCCAAACCAGACTGACAGTCATACTAACACCTTCCACATCTTGTATTATTATTTCGTGTAATATACCTTCGTTATTTCTACTCTTGTGTTCGTGTTGTTCTTCCTTGGTCCTAACCTGGACCATAACAGTTTCACAGTGGAGATAATAAAAGAAAAGTCCTTGCAATGCTCAATATCAAAGCTAGAACATTAACGGAACTATTACAAGTAAAAGGTTTGTCACGTAGCTGATTGATGTTTATAAAAACTATATGTCAAATGACAACAATTGGAAAGAAAAGGGGTAAAAGAAAAAAGATAGAAAAGGCTAAAGAGTAATTGTAAAATGAAAAAAAAAAACGACGGAAAGGAGAAATAACCA